TCGTGTTTAAAATCGTTTCTTGTGGTTCGGGACATTCGCCTGCGAATGTTACATCGATGTGCAAAGCAGAATTAAAAAATCTTGAATTTGAAAAAATTCGTCTCTGACAGTTTTCTTTAAACTGCTGTATTTTTTAAAGTGTGCGACTAAAGCGAAACGAAATTCAGTTCACACATCTATAAACGATTCTTAATAAGACTGCTGATTTGGATTTGCGTTATTTTCAATTTGGAAAAATTCATTTTTGACAGTTTTGTTTAAACTGCTGTATTTTTTAAAGTGTGCGACTTAAAGCAAAACGAAATTCATTTCACACAACTATAAACGATTCTTAATAAGACTGCTGATTTGGATTTGCGTTATTTTCAATTTGAAAAAATTCATTTTTGACAGTTTTGTTTAAACTGCTGTATTTTTTAAAGTGTGCGACTTAAAGCGAAACGAAATTCAGTTCACACATCTATAAACGATTCTTAATAAGACTGCTGATTTGGATTTGCGTTATTTTCAATTTGAAAAAATTCATTTTTACAGTTTTGTTTAAACTGCTGTATTTTTTAAAGTGTGCGACTTAAAGCGAAACGAAATTCAGTTCACATTTCTATAAACGATTCTTAATAAGACTGCTGATTTGGATTTGCGTTATTTTCATTTTGAAAAAATTCATTTTTGACAGTTTTGTTTAAACTGCTGTATTTTTTAAAGTGTGCGACTTAAAGCGAAACGAAATTCAGTTCACACATCTATAAACGATTCTTAATAAGACTGCTGATTTGGATTTGCGTTATTTTCAATTTGGGGAAAAACTTGAACTTTTGATTTTTTTACTTACGACGTGAGCGATCGACGTACTATCATTTTCGGTATTAAAAAAATTAATTTCTTATAGTCAGTTGTCAGATTCACATTAATATATATTAAAAACACATTTTCAAGTGCGTTCAAATTCTTTAAGCGAAGATAGATCGATTTCGATTTTGAAGCGAAAAATTTAAAGAGTGACAAGTTTTAAGATATGTCAATATACATGCTCAGTCGTGTTTAAAATCGTTTCTTGTGGTTCGGGACATTCGCCTGCGAATGTTACATCGATGTACAAAGCAGAATTAAAAAATCTTGAAATTTGAAAAAATTCGTCTGTGACAGTTTTCTTTAAACTGCTGTATTTTTTAAAGTGTGCGACTTAAAGCAAGACGAAATTCATTTTACACAACTATAAACGATTCTTAATAAGACTGCTGATTTAGATTTGCGTTATTTTCAATTTGAAAAAATTCATTTTTTACAGTTTTGTTTAAACTGCTGTATTTTTTATAGTGTGCGACTTAAAGCGAAACGAAATTCAGTTCACACATCTATAAACGATTCTTAATAAGACTGCTGATTTGGATTTGCGTTATTTTCAATTTGAAAAAATTCATTTTAGACAGTTTTGTTTAAACTGCTCCATTTTTTAAAGTGTGCGACTTAAAGCGAAACGAAATTCAGTTCACACATCTATAAACGATTGTTAATAAGACTGCTGATTTGGATTTGCGTTATTTTCAATTTGAAAAAATTCATTTTCACAGTTTTGTTTAAACTGCTGTATTTTTTAAAGTGTGCGACTTAAAGCGAAACGAAATTCAGTTCACATTTCTATAAACGATTCTTAATAAGACTGCTGATTTGGATTTGCGTTATTTTCATTTGAAAAAATTCATTTTTACAGTTTTGTTTAAACTTCTGTATTTTTTAAAGTGTGCGACTTAAAGCGAAACGAAATTCAGTTCACACATCTATAAACGATTCTTAATAAGACTGCTGATTTGGATTTGCGTTATTTTCAATTTGGGAAAAACTTGAACTTTTGATTTTTTTACTTACGACGCGAGCGATCGACGTACTATCATTTTCGGTATTAAAAAAATTAATTTCTTATAGTCAGTTGTCAGATTCACATTAATATATATTAAAAACACATTTTCAAGTGCGTTCAAATTCTTTAAGCGAAGATAGATCGATTTCGATGTTGAAGCGAAAAATTTAAAGAGTGACAAGTTTTAAGATATGTCAAATATACATGCTCAGTCGTGTTTAAAATCGTTTCTTGTGGTTCGGGACATTCGCCTGCGAATGTTACATCGATGTACAACGCAGAATTAAAAAATCTTGAAATTTGAAAAAATTCGTCTGTGACAGTTTTCTTTAAACTGCTGTATTTTTTAAAGTGTGCGACTTAAAGCAAAACGAAATTCATTTTACACAACTATAAACGATTCTTAATAAGACTGCTGATTTAGATTTGCGTTATTTTCAATTTGAAAAACTTCATTTTTGACAGTTTTGTTTAAACTTCTGTATTTTTTAAAGTGTGCGACTTAAAGCGAAACGAAAAACAGTTCACACATCTATAAACGATTCTTAATAAGACTGCTGATTTGGATTTGCGTTATTTTCAATTTGAAAAAATTCATTTTTCACAGTTTTGTTTAAACTGCTGTATTTTTTAAAGTGTGCGACTTAAAGCGAAACGAAATTCAATTCACACATCTATAAACGATTCTTAATAAGACTGCTGATTTGGATTTGCGTTATTTTCAATTTGAAAAAATTCATTTTAGACAGTTTTGTTTAAACTGCTGCATTTTTAAAGTGTGCGACTTAAAGCGAATCGAAATTCAGTTCACACATCTATAAACGATTCTTAATAAGACTGCTGATTTGGATTTGTGTTATTTTTAATTTGGGGAAAAACTTGAACTTTTGATTTTTTTACTTACGACGCGAGCGATCGACGTACTATCATTTTCGGTATTAAAAAAATTAATTTCTTATAGTCAGTTGTCAGATTCACATTAATATATATTAAAAACACATTTTCAAGTGCGTTCAAATTCTTTTAGCGAAGATAGATCGATTTCCATGCTGAAGCGAAAAATTTAAAGAGTGACAAGTTTTAAGATATGTTAAATATACATGCTCAGTCGTGTTTAAAATCGTTTCTTGTGGTTCGGGACATTCGCCTGGGAATATAACATCGATGTACAAAGCAGAATTAAAAAATCTTGAAATTTGAAAAAATTCGTCTGTGACAGTTTTCTTTAAACTGCTGTATTTTTTAAAGTGTGCAACTACAAGCGAAACGAAATTTACTTCACACATCTGTAAACGATTCTTAATAAGACTGCTGATTTGGATTTGCGTTATTTTTAATTTGGGGAAAATGTTGAACTTTTGATTTTTCGACTGACGACGCGAGCGATCGATGTATTATCATTTTCGGTATTAAAAAAATTAATTCTTTATAATCAGCTGTCAGATTCACATTAATATATATTAAAAACACATTTTCAAGTGCGTTCAAATTCTTTAAGCGAAGATAGATCGATTTCGATGTTGAAGCGAAAAATTTAAAGAGTTACAAGTTCTAAGTTATGTCAAATATACATGCTCAGTCGTGTTTAAAATCGTTTTTTGTGGTTCGGGACATTCGTTTTCGAAAGTTACATCGATGTACAAAACAGACTTTAAAAATTTGAATTTTGAAAAAATTTATTATTGACAGTTCTGTTTAAACTACTGTATTTCTTGAAGCGTACATTACAATTACATGCAAAACGAAAATCGCTTTTCACAATTAGAAACGATATTAAATAATACTGCGTATTCGGATTTGCTTTATTTTAAAGTTGGGTTACAATTTTAAATTTTTATTGTTACATTGACGAAGTTTGCGATCGAAATGTTGTCGTTTTCTGTATTAAAAAATTCATTTCTTAAACTCAGGTGCCACATTTGCATTAAAATATTAAAGACACGAAATTTTTAAGTGCGAATAGAAATCTTTAAAAAAAGATAGGTTCATGTCGATTTTTAAACGAAATATTTTAAATGCTTCAAATTTTAAGATATTTAAAATTCACCTGCTCAGTATTGTTTAAATCGATTTTTATTGTTAAGAACATTCCCAATCAAAAAATTTTTAAGGAAAAAACATAATTTGAAAATCTTGAAATTTGAAGAGAATCAACTTTGACAGTTTTCTTTTAACTGTATTGTCTAAAGCGTACAATTACAAGCGAAACGAAAATCACTTTCCACAATTAGAAACGATATTAAATAATACTTCGTATTCGGATTTGCTTTATTTTAAAGTTGTGTCACAATTTTAAATTTTGATTTTTACATTGACGAAGCTTGCGATCGGAATGCTGTCGTTTGCTATATTAAAAAATTAGTTGTTTAAACTTAGGTGCCATATTTACATTAATATATTAAAGTTACTAATTATTTCTTATGTAAGCTTATTATCATATGAGACATATGTAGAACGTTTTGGGTTGGTTTTTTAATAATTAAGTTTACGATTAGCTAAACGTTTAAACTTTACTCACAATCAGATATATATATATATATATATATATATATGTGTGTGTGTGTAAAACAGAGTTTAAACTTTCATTAAAGTTCAAACTATTATTAAAAAACCAATTTTAAATTTAACTTTAAACTCATTTATGTTTTGTATTATTTTTAATCATTTTTTTATTTTTATCAATTTTTAAACTATTAACTTAAACAGAATTGCTAGCGTCCGAGCAATATTCTTTAATAATCTTGAGAAAATAATATACGCCTTATACGCAATCACTAACATATTATTCTCGAAATCACGGTGAGATATATCCACGTAAAATTATTCAAACTTTACTATCTTTGATACAATAGTCATCGCTAAGAATAAAATTAATTTTAAAGAGCTCGTTACGCAAGAACTACGAGACATTGTAATTTCCAAGTAGAATAAAAACGTACAGAATGAACTTTTGATCTTAACAAGATCAATGTTTCTTAAGTGATTATTTTAAATAACCAAAATTAACTTTAGTGCCTTTTCGGCGCCTTATAAATAAAATAAAAGAAGGTAAATTACTTTGCGTTTTGAAAATAAATTAATTTCTACAAGATAAGATATCTTTTATTTATATTTAATATTTTTTATACAATTCTCCATTAAACTATAGCTAAAAATATTAGTTACCATAACTAAAATTTAAAAATAATAACTGAATTTCAGATTGTAATATTGGGAAATTTAACTATATGGTGGTTAACTTTTTTTCGCGATAACACACGAGATTTTGTTCCGTCCACGAAATTATTTTCTATCCACTCGATTTTTAAAAGTGACAGTGACAAAGAATCAATTGTAATAATATATGATAACATTCGCATGTATTTCCATCTTTCCAAAGATAAAGAGAGAGATGGAGAAAGAGACGAGTCTTTCCAAGACTCTTACGCACGCGGTCCATTCACATTATTTGATTTCGGCTTCCGCCACAATCTTCACTCGCATTCCGGATGTGTTCTCGATCGACGGCACTGTCCCCGACACGTTAGTCCTATCAGCGGCGATTTGACACTTGACCCTTGACGCCGGCCTGAGTGTGTCTGCGTCGGCGGATAAATCGCGAACGTCCCGCGGGATCCGCAGTCCCTCGTCGTTCATCGTACGCTTAATTATACTCGCGCCGCACCGAATTCCGTCGTCGATCACGTGTAGATCGCGTCCCCCATTTGCATTTCGCAAAACTCATCGTGCTGTTCACGCCTGTGACTCTTCAGCGTAAAAGGTGAACGATAGATAAGTTGGCTTTTTTTTATGTCTCGCTGCGATACCAGATTTTTTTTCCTCGATGTTTTGTCGAGCGATATGTGTTAGTATACGCAATGAGAAAACGGATTGAGGACATACATGTGTGGAGATAATTCCCATCGCCCCAGGAATTCACGCACAAAGTTAAGCGCGGAAGGATTTCGCGAAAACGTTAATGTGACAAAAGTTCACATTCTCACGCGTGAAGCACGCAGTGCTTATTATTTTTCTCTCTTTCAAGATCCGCCAAGAATTAATCGTTCATGCTGACAGTGCGTGTTCATTGATCTTAAAATGTAAGCAACTCGACCCACTTCTAGTTCTAATTGTTAAAAATCGTAGCAGATACTGCAATCTTGGAAAACAATATTTGGAAAACATCAAGAATAAATTTACTCCAAACATCGAGATTCCGACTACGCATCGAGTAAGAAATTTATTTTTTATTACATGACTTTGATTGAATTTATTTATTTTAATTTAAATTATTTCTTTTTTTCCTTCTAATAGAAAAAGAATTTGCGATTTAGGCACGTGCAACTTTTTTTTCAACTTTCTTACAATTTGCGACTGATGATGTGTAGCAAACAAAAAATATAAGAATATTTTTTTTAGAAAAATTTTCTTCTTCTATTTGCTAAAAATAAAAGCTATAAATATTTCTGAAGAAAGTTGAGACAAAAGACACACATGTCGTATGTTGTATATATTATAAAGAGAGTTATCTAGCATCATCTCCTCGTCATGAATAATTCCTCGATGTCGTCGGTATCGACGTTTTGTGTGTCATATCAGTTATTCATTATTTACGGAAATAAATAACAGCGAGTTATTTGCATAAATATATATGTTTTCAATTTCAATTTTAAGATCTTGAAAAATTAATCTCTTATATCGATTGTTTTTTCTATTCTAAGTTTTCCATTCTTTACAACGAATGAATATATTCTTAATTTCCAAATATATATAATATAGATATATATTTTTTTTTGCTCGTATACGTCATTACATCCTATACATACATAGAACATTAATCAGGTTTTATTGTTCGACAAATTGCATTATATCGACATGTCAATATGTGAGCAAAAGCGAGGGAGGATTCTTAATTGAACTATATCAATACAATTCTATTCGATAAAAGCCATATATCCTGCGAACACATATTACGTCTTATAAAGAGAATCCTGTACAAATTAATAAATATTTTCTGCTTTCGCCGTGAATTACGTATTAAACTATAATATGCGTTTTCGAATTAATATTACATAATTTCGTGCTCAAGGCTCTTGATTTTAATCTAATCTATGCGTGTTTTTGGATGAAAACATGACAGTTTGTTTTTTGCGAAATAATTGCGTAAACGATTGTTTGACCGAAGCACAAAAAAAATCAGCGTCATATCGATTTTGTCTGCGCATTTGTCTCTATTATATGTATATTGTGAAAATAACGAGAACCTAGATAAGGATCGCGACAATTATCGACGCCCCTTGAAGAAAATTATTTTTCTCTAGTGTATGTTGAAATCTTTCATCGAACCTTTTATACTACATATAGAGAAAGACATTCTGCGTTTTAAATAATTCGATTCTTAGTAGTGTCTTCGGTATTTATCTGCAATCATGATACAAACTTCAATGTTTATTGCTATCCAAAAAAATGAATGATATTACGCTTTTACACTGTTTTGCAAATCTATCTTTCTCCATCCATTTATTCGCAATATATAGTGTTGATAAATTAATGCAGCCAAAACAAGTATCTATATCGCTCAAATCCCGAAAAATCGTCCAACTACGATGAAATAAAGTTAATTGAAGAAAAACAGCTCATTAATATGATATCTTAACGTGTTCCCTCGTTGATGCACTTTGCGCTTCGGGGCCGAAGTTTAGTTCCGTGTGTCTCTGGCGCATGTTTAGCACATGATGTCAGTCGGATTTGGTACTTTGAACGCAATCTACATTGATGTTGCTTTTCTTTCTGCATTTTATCCGGCAAAAAAGCAGGCGTACAAACTGTAGACACTTTTCGGAGCAGATTGTAATATATATATATATATAGTAATAGTTACAAAAAGTTGCGAACCAATTCGAGCTTCAACACCTCCTATGACTTGGACCTGCGCTGAACATACTTCGCTAGGGCAGCGGAAAGTAAGCCGAATCAGTATTACAACGCACCCCGTACGACAAGGGTTCGTTGTTCAATAGTGCGCAAAGACGAGGCGGATCTTTCGACATTTTGGCGCAGATCATCTTGAAATATATTTTGCACTCGAAATGATCTCTCTCTGTAAAGTGTTTTGATTTTAAAAGCGATTCCATCCCAGAAGAGAATTTAATTTGCTCTGTAAGATAAAAAATGTTTAATATATAAAATACTCGAATCTTCTTATATATAAACTTTTTTACATTCTTTTTACACTAAATATTTTTGTTTAAGAGGGGATCAGTAAAATATAAAAATTGAAAGACAGAAAAAATAATTTATAGATTTTTCTATGAATTATATCCACGCATCCAATTGAATTGGAAACCGTATTTAAATATATGTAATATCACCCTCTGATAAGAGATTACGGATTGAAGAGGATCGCTGGTGAACGTAATTTCTATGTTTAAAGATCTAGTCGTTAACCACAAATAAATGATAGCTTGCCAAACACTTGGCGCATCAAACTGAATCGGATGTTGTATCTCATCACATTGTCAGTGTAATGTAACCCTTTGAACGTGACTGCTACGTTTAAAGGCCGAGTCGCTTACCACAAATAAATCATAGCAAACACTCCACGATGTATCTCTCCGCGAATTGTTGCATGTTCGGAATGCCTCGCGCACAGACTAGACGCATTGTCTTGGTGTAGTTTGCTTGTTTCCAAAACTTTCCGAGCTAAAAGTACGAGTGTGAAGCATCTCGAATGAATTCGCGTCACGTGTGCGATCGAACTGTCGTTCTTCAAGATCTCCTCGCATTTTCTAAATATCGGACAAAAATCAAAAGAAAATTAAATAAATTTTATATAATTAAAGAAATAATTTCGTTACAAAAAATACTCATTTTCTCAAAATCGAACCCGATAATTGCAGATGGATAAGCTCATCCTCAGCGATATGGAGAACGCGATTAAACAGTTAAGCGAAGCCGACAGCGAAGAGAGTTTCGAGTGCAACGACACGGTGGAACTGCCGAACGAATTGCGTTTCAATGACGGTCACCTCGTGACGATAATCACTTACAGCATCCTAATGGTGATATCGGCTGCTGGGAACTTTAGCGTGCTGATAATGACTATAATAAAGAAGCGAAAGTCCAAGTCCCGTATACACACCCTTATAATGCACTTGTCAATTGCTGACCTCCTTGTAAGTATTCGAGCATAATTAAAGCATATTCGAACGCACAATTAATTCGCCATAAGTAATATCGCTATACGATTTGATAAAAACGCGATGATTGAATTCAGGAGATTAAAGTGTGAAATTTTATCGAATTTAATTTAATTATCCAGGTGACGTTCTTAATGATGCCGCTTGAAATCGGATGGTCTATAACGGTATCCTGGGAAGCCGGAGACGCTATGTGTCGTATAATGGCTTTCTTCAGGATGTTTGGTCTATATCTTTCATCCTTTGTAATAGTTTGCATAAGTATAGACAGGTCAGCGCGGAATCACCATTTTGATAAACTGCGATTATTTTATACACGCATGCATGCATTGACTATTTTTTATTTATTTCTTTGAATGTCATGATTTATTCAGATAAATGTCACATATAATATGAAAATAATAATTATGTATATATGCAGTATTTGATCCGGTTGGAATTCTATAAAATTACATTTAAAATGACATTTAGAATTACATTCTTCACACGTACTGTAATGTTACAGATATTACGCTGTGATGCGACCTCTTCAGATACTGGACGTTTACAGAAGAGGTAAAATAATGCTGATGCTCGCATGGATTGGCTCTGTGCTATGTTCTTTACCACAGGTAAACTAATTTATATAATTAGCATAAAATCGCATTTGTTATCCGACTCATTATTTTTTTCTATAGATGTTGGTGTTTCATCTCGAGACACATCCGAATCACTCTTGTTACACGCAATGTATAACTTTCAACGTCTTCCCGTCGTACGCGCATGAAATTTCCTATACTTTGTTCGGGATGGTGATAATGTATTGGTTTCCACTCGGCGTAATATTCTACACTTACAGCAGTATTTTCATGGAAATCTGCCGTAGATCCAAAGAGAAGAGCGAAGGTACGGTTGATAGCGATTTATCAAACTACATACCAGATTTATTCGAAAACATATTTTACATACACACATATTGCGTTATACATATATATCGCAATCTCTTATTTTATTCATATATAAAGTCCCCTGAGTGTCATGTTATTTAATGACTCGGCAACAAAGTAAAGCGATTGATCAACAGACATTCTCTTGCAGATAAAATACGTCGTTCCTCGAGCGGTTTCTTAAGTCGGGCTCGAGTACGCACTTTAAAAATGACGATAACCATTATCGCCGTATTCATTATCTGTTGGAGTCCTTACTATGTGATGAGTGTCTGGTGAGTGACAACTATTTTTCAATTTCCACGGAATTTTTTTATTCTTGTCTTGCTAGCTGGAAATTTTTATTCGCAATAACTAATAACACAAAATCAGCAAAATCGACCTAGTTGATTTCTGCAGACGGAAAAATACTGACTTTTGACGTGACCAACGTTCACGGCCGCAGATGGACTCGTGTAAATTCCGCTGTATTAAAAGAAAATGATAATAATTATATTTTAGATTGTATACCTCACTTATTTGAGAAATTTGCTGTTGATTATGCACGATTATTATTATTGAATGTGAACAGGTACTGGTTCGATCGAACTTCAGCCCAGAAAGTCGACGAACGCATTCAGAGAGCCCTCTTCTTCTTTGCCTGCACCAATTCCAGCATGAATCCCATCATCTACGGCATTTTCAACATACGCCAGAGAAACAAAGTACGTATTTATTATTTAGAATGGTTTATAATATCAACTCAGTATATTTCCTTCTTATAAAGATTTTTTTCCAAAATTATTACTATATCATTTTTATTATCCTGTTTTCCATTGATGCAAATATTCTGATATGACATCGTTTTTATAAATTTGTTTAAATTATGTACCCAAGAAAGAGAAAGAGAATTTTGTATAATAAATTTTCAAGTATTCAATATACGCACATAACGGTCTTATTCTAATAAAATTGATAGTCCGTTTAAGCGTGAAATAGAACTTGATATAGGACAAACTCATATAATCATTGTATTAATTGCGATTATCTGCGCTTATATATTGTTAACCCGTGAATTATAACACATAATTTCGTCTTACAAATTGCAAAAGCGAATTCGCAAGCACAAAATACTTTAAAAAAACATTTCTCTTTTCTATTGAAAATATTCAAGCTTGTTACTTGTACTTTCAGACAAAGATTCAATCCTATCCCCTTTTGAGGCCCATCAACACAACTATGGAACTTCCAGTAGTAGCATACGCTAAAGATTCCATTTTCACCATTTTCGTAATTGCCTTGCCGAATCTCTTTAACCCCTCGACTTCATATAACAGACGCTCATCGCATGATCGTGGTAATTATGTGCGTCCTTAATTATAATTACCATATCTTTGCTATATTAAAATTGACGAATAGAAAAGAACTCTGCTTCATCCGAAACACCAAAATAATTGCATTATTCTTTCCGTAAAAAAAAATAAAAAACAAGAAATGCAGAATTATGAAAAGTGAGAAAGGACGGCGCAAGAGGGTACCTAAAACCTCGACTCTCTTCTTTAGGAAAATTTCTGTTTCAGGCGCCGACGCGTGCAGCCACCATCGAGACCCGATTAACGCCGCTGTCTCTGTCGGTCAGACTTCTCGATTGACGATGAACGCGATGTTCGCCAGATCGAACAGATGCGTTTAGAAGAATGGAACTGATGCCTCGGGTGTATTCGCATCTCTCTATGGAAAAGGGACAGTCGCTGTGAACTGCGCTTTGAACGACCTCGCCGTCCATATGCGATGCAAATCCTATGTAGCATTGTTTACACAGAGCCATGAGGAGTCTTATACTCATATATATTGTCAAGTATATAATAGGATTAGGTTACAACGATGAACTGTGATCGCGATCGAGTTTACGCTCGATGGATCCTTGATGCAACGAGACGAGTTTTCCTCAGTAGACTATTATATATTCGTTCATCTCTAGATATATTTATTTTTTAATGTTAAGCTCTAGCGACTAAGTAATTTTTATTACGTATTACGATATAAATAACGTTTCGAGTGCAAATATGCAGCTTCGTATATGTGTGTTTTTATTTTTATAATTTTACGACGCGAGATTGTACAAACAAATTACGTGAATTATTTATACACTGCTATAATTCCGTTGTTTATAATTTCGTATTTTTATAATAATGGATACAAAGAAAATTGTATAGGCGTTACGTACACTTCTCTCGTCACATGTAAGAGTCTTAATTAAAGCCCGCAAAATTGATTTATCGTTTGTAAATATTTGTGTAGCATGAAAAAATGAAAATAAAACATTAATTTATGTGACATATAATGAAGTGTGGACAAGCTTTATCCTAGGCAATCGAATAACGTAATAATATATTTCGGTTCGATAAAGTAATCACGCTTTTTTCTCAGAATCGAACACATCATGAATGTATCATGCCAGCTCCAGTCTCAATTGAATCAAATCTGCGTGACTTCGTGCGCGCCGAGTCTGAGTTACATATATCAAGTTCAGCCGCACATTGTATCCGTAATGCTGCTTAATTAAGAACGGAGGAATAGATCACATCATCATGTGATTCGGGATTGCAAAGTCTCGGTCGGCATCCGACACGGTCAAAACGTAGTTAATGACGAAGACGAAATGACGGCCCGGGGTCGGAGCGATTCCTTTCGTTCCGCGTATTTGCAACGGCGTGTCTACGACGTGGACGAGAAAACGCGGCATAACGTATCGAAATGCAAGAACGAAGCATTCGTCACATTATAATGATAGCCAGGAGAGAAATATATTTACTTATCTTTCTTCCGCAACGTGGAAGTTTACGTACACATTTTACGAAATTAATTTATGTTGAAAGTATTAAGTATTGGCGTCGTTAAATGAAATTTGCCATTATGGTTTGACACTAAAGATGAACAATTTTTAATTGAGAAAATAGAATTTAAGAAATTTATTTAAAAAATAAAATCACAAATATCTAATTTTAAATTGTGAAATTTTATTTCACAAAATTCTATATTAATATGTACTATACATTATACGATAAAATTCTCTGTTTCTCTTATAAATTTTTTCAAATTATCTTGTTATTACAGAGAGATTGCGCTCGATTATATTGGAAAGTTAGTAATAGAGCTTTATAAAATTTTCAATAAAATACATTTTCTTCAATTTTTCAAAGACACCGTATATGCTGTCGGAGGAAACTAGGCTTTGCTGTGCAGCATATTACGGTTTGAAACTGGTGTGGATGTGTAGGTGGGACCACTTCCCACACACGCGTAACTGGCACAAGAGCGACATTGTTGTTACATACCTGTTGCAAGGTCTGTCGCATCGAAGGGACAAACAAACTGAATTATCATCGAGATTGAAAAATTTCTCCTCTGAATATATATATATATATATATATATATATATATATATATCAATACAACGTGTGACAACAGTTTTATTAAGAGTATTCCGAAATAATATGCTAATGTCTCGAATGATTGTATTAATTGATTCTGCTGAAAAGTTTCCTCGTGTCACCGTAAAAGGAAGTGATTAATTTATATTATTGGCGCCGGCTGTGACTACTTGTAACTCGGCGCGCCTTTCCGCTATGACTATTTCATATCGTTAAAAAATTCTTGTAGGCGTGTGCATACAACATTGTCACAGGAATAATGTGTTAGTGACATCAGGACTAATCATTCAGCCACAGATCATGCGATAATAATATTGCTTACTCTCTCTATTACCCATTTCTATAAAACCATTATACATGAATAATTTACCGTATAATTAGATATTATCTGGTTTCATGCAAATTTATTAAATAAACATTATAAAATTAAATGATTTATAAAATAAACAAATTACATTTTTTTAATCTTAAGCCCGATCACATAATTTTATCATAATTTTTATAAAAAAGCCTTCATTCATTAATTTTAATTTACCTCTATCTTTTATTCATAAAACTGGTTTTATGTCAAGCTGTTTCTCTCTCTCTTTCGCTTTCACTCCATCTTTCTTCACGAAATAATATCGTAACATGCGGTATATGGTCGATTTACGGTGATAAATCCCAGTAATCCTAATTCATTGATATTTTCTCTGCTCGATATATACCGGTACAAGCAGCACCGCACAAAATCTCGTTCGTGAAGTAGCATTCGTGGGCGACGTATAAAGTCGCAGACGGTACGCATCCGCGCCTCAGTCGGCGGCCGTGCCTCCTGTATTCGCGCGTGCCGTCGTATCTATCGGAATCCTTCGCGAGACGAGGCACAGTGGATCTCTTTTCTTAAAGAAAAATCGAAATTCTGTTTCCTCTCTTGTCTTGAAAATTTCACCGCGAAAGTCTGATTCACTCGCGCAGAGTGAATCGCAAAACGCGTCAGGATGCGAATCCTGATTGTCCTGATCCTCGGGCTATTAATTGTCTACGCCGTCGACGGTAGCATCGTGCCTGATGATGGTAAGGATTTTAATTACTGAAAAAGTGGAAAATATTTTTCGGAATTAAGTGTCAAAATGAAGTATTTGTACTGCTTTCGAAATTTGAATTCTTTTTTTTAATTTACTATACATTTACAATGATTAAATATTTTTCTTAATATTATCTTTCATTTAATAATTCAATATTTAATAATTTTAATATCGATAACATCTTCTTGTAAAACTTTATAATTACTTTTCTTCGATTTAGACATGTTTGCACTATAGAAGACCATTCCTGGTGCGATGCTACAAAAAACTTGGTAGCAACACGAGATCGATGACCAAACGGTCACTCAACTTGTGTTTATATTGTATCAACAACTCGTATAAATAAATTAAAATCGAGATATTGTTCTATTAATTAATATTAATTTTAATTTGTATTCAAAATTAATTATAATCCATTAATTGCAACATCTATTATATTTAGCGGTATATTATTTATGCATTCTTCTACTTATACTCTTTTTATTTTGCCTCGACAGACTTGACTGCGAGCCTGCAAGATATGTGGTTCGAAGATGAATTTATTATCGTCTTGTCCAACATAAGAGTTAAGAAGAAATCCGGCTCGACCAATTCGATCGAGACTATATTGGCCGTGAAGTATAAACAGACGAAAACCAAAATGCTCCTCATACTTGATCGACGAACGAAACGCGGTGAGCCGACAAATTCTTTTGGAATCACGATTTTTCCGAATTTTTCTTCCCGTATCACAAAACACTGACACTCGCCGTTCCAGTTGTACTCGAGAGTCTCGACGAGAACGGCCGACGTAGCGCAGCGCATGTCAACGTGGACTCTCTCACGGTGAACACGCCTCTGAAGAGCCTGATTATCCTGGTGCATCAGCTGAAACTGAATCCCCGCATGGACGTTTACGTCGATTGCATCTTCGAGGGCTCCATCCCGCTCAAGCAGTCTTTCCGTGACATAGCCGAGCTCGAAGACAGCCCGTCCGTGGAAGTGGTAAGAATTTAAAATATTTCGACTAATATTCTTATTAAAATCATTTTTAAAAAATGTCAATATATAATATGTTCGTTTAAATTCGCTTCCTTTTTTTACTGTTCTGCTCGATATTATTTTCTGCTGCCGCTATCTTTCCCCGACGATTTCTTATTTGTTCTCCATGACGTCCGCAAACGTGGGACGACGTCTTTCCAAATATGGTTGACGAGGTCTAAGCTTGTTGCTGCTTCTGTTATGTACACCTGGTCGGTTTACCCAACCCAGACACAACGATGCCTGATTACTCGAATGAATTGAATTCGTTTCAATGAATTATTCGCTCTATATTTCTGTTATTCCGACTTTATGCATTGTCATTCTACGATTCCTTTCAATTCTCGTCACAATTTACTGAGTAAAAATTCTATATACAATATTTTCATGAATTTCAAAATAAATATTTAACAGTGATAAAAAATATTATTTTATATGTATCACATAAAATTTTTAATTCATAAATATTCTCGTTTATTTGATTGACATTCATTTAACTAGTGGTTAAAATTTACTCTTGAAATTAATATTAATTCGTTAATAAGCACGCTGAAATTCTTTTAGTTCAGAGAACGAAAATGCCAGGCGAAAGTGTATAAATCCAATATCATGGAGGCGCTGAAGAAGGAACAATGTCCCGATAATCTAATTGATATGAAGCAGCCTTCGATATTCGACACGAAAACTAATCCTACAGATAAATCTGACGGGACCGACGATGGCGACGAATCGAGTACATCGGACAATTCTACGCCATTCATTGACACAAAACGTCCCAATCATCATCCGGATGACAAGAAACTTTTAAATAAGAAGGGTCATCTGAATGATCGCGACCAACAAAAGAGGAAAGATCCACGACATCCAGGAAGCAATAATAAGGATCCATATGATCCAAACGGGTCTTTCTCGCAACCTGACCAATCGACTGAAACAGACAATGAACCTTATCTTACTAAATCGAAAAAACCGCATCCATTAGGAATGGGACCCAACGGCTTGAGTCAACGTGGCCCCAATAAATCTAGACAATCAAAGGAGACGGACGATCTTGACTATCCAGACGAGTCTTTACCGTTAACTTCGCAGTCTAACAAAGGGCATAGTCCTACTAATCATCAAATAGGGTCTGGTGGATCTCCGAATAATTTTAAACGACCTGGTCGAAGTCCAGATCGTACAGGAGTATCCAATTTGTACAATCCGGATGACATAGACATACCTCTCAAGAGACCGCCTAGAAGAGGCGACATTGGAATCCAGAGTCTGGATGAGAGAGGTGAGCAAGCGGACGTTAAATTGATTGATACTGTTCAAAATTTAATGCATTCTCACAAAATATGTTTTTCCAGTCTGCCAGACCGACGATCGAATCGTGAAAACCTTGAATGAATTAATCAACGCCACCAGGCAACTCTGGAGGGAGGTGGAACTTAATGTGAGTCTAAAGCAATTTTAATCCTTAGATTTTTAATTAATATCTTTGCTGTGCTGTATGCGCGTTCATAATAATATATTAATTAAAGATTTTGTATATCACTCTCTATTATTTTACTTGAAAAAATCATTAACTAATTAAATTTAAATAATAGAAAACTAAAAATTATTATTACGATATAATATTTATGTTTCATTATTATTAGGATACTTTGTAAAAAGATGTACCAACATTATTTATTATTCATTATTTAAGGAGAAAATTTGCAAAATTCAAAAAACTTACGCGACTCATTTTCTTCCGTTTTACAGAGGGAGGAAACCCGACAGCTTCGTCAATTAATCGAAAACGGCTTGGCGTGTCGTACACCCATCGGTGAGTGACGTTCGGTCGTATTGAAAGGACACGTGCTCGCAAATAACAGTTCTCTTAACTTAGAAGCTAGCCAAAAAAATCTCACTGTAATATCAATTGAATGATTTTATCTGTCTATCACTCTCGCGTCCTTTACACTCTCGAATTTAATCTGTACGTGCGACAGTTGTCAATATCTATTTATATGCAACGAGTTGTACCAAGGAATCTTACAACACAATAAATGCCTGTTGTTAGAAAAAAAATTCAACTTTGTTGTGACTCTTATATTCTTCTGCTGCGCAGTCTATAACACATTTTCATTTAAATATCTCTTTCGACGTGTAGGCAATTAAAAGGGAGCGTTTAAAACACGATGCTTGCACTCGCAAAACAAGCGCTATTTTTTGGTTTTTTTTTAAATCTTATTGCAACATAATTATAGAAAATTCTTACTCTCTCGTGAAATTCGCTTCTCAACATCTATATCTGTCCGACCTCTTATATCTATCGACAGAAATTAAATTAAAATTAAACAGCTTAACGATTGCATCCTCGTTGTCTCCGCAAAGTCCCTATGCAAATCGAGAATACGCAAGAAATTCATGTCGATCTCGTTTACAAAACACACACACACACACATACTTGCACGTGCACGTACGACACGCTGGGGCGTCGCATAATTTTCCGGGGCCCGTGCTGGGCCCACTCGACGGACGCGTATGGGAGACCGGAGACCAAAAATATTCCGAAAAAAATTGGCAAATTCGTCACTCGAGCCGTGATCCCGGTAATTCCCGTAGTGACACCACTGCCGCTGCTCACGTGCGATCCTTCACCATGCTACCCCGGCGTCGATTGCCGCGACACCCCGAGGGGACCCCAGTGCGGCCCCTGTATCCGCGGTTATACCGGAAATGGACAGGTCTGCACCAAACTCGTCAACGTCATCACCTGCTTCGACCGGCCGTGCTACCAGGGAGTGCGGTGCTACGATCTCAGCAGCGGTTACAAGTAAATTAACTGTAATAGATAAGATAGAAGTATATAAAATCGAGACTTTTAAAAAAATAATGCAATAATAATGAAAATTTGCATCCAGATGCGGTAGATGTCCAAGCGGATACATCGGCGATGGCGAAAGATGCGACAGGCATAGAAACCCTTGCGAAACTAATCCTTGTCATCCGGAAGTCAAGTGCTATCCAACTTACAGTCCTCCATTTTTCAAGTAAACATCAGCGGCGCATACTTATTTATATTCCAAGTTCTACTTAATACCAATTTATTCAAATTCTTTTTGAAAAAAAGCAACACAGACTCATCTTAAGAATTCTATTATTGAAATGCAAATTAATATATTTTTATAGTATACGTACAGAAAGAAAGATAAAAAATTATCAAAAATGTTACAATTAAATCTTCACACCTCTCTTTACCTTTGCATTTGTTTTATTTTATATTTTGTTCGATCAAACGAGGAACAAAGCTATTCGAGTATCTCGTCTTCTTTAATCAATCTCACACATAATATAGATGCGGTCCATGTCCACTGGGATATGTGGGTAACGGCACAGTCTGCCAGGACGAGAACGAATGCGAGCTGAGCCGGCCCTGTCATCCCGGAGTACGATGCATCAATCTCCATCCCGGATACAGATGTGATAGATGTCCACCAGGTTACACCGGACCGATGACAGAAGGTGTCGGTGTCGAGATGGCTAGAAAGCAAAAACAGATCTGTCAGGATATAAACGAGTGCGACATCAACAACGGCGGATGCCACCCCTATTCGGAATGTATCAACACGAAGGTAAGAAATTTTTGAGGGATCTTAAATTATAATTTACAGAGAATCAAATTTATTAATATTTTTTTCATATATTTTAATTGTGTCGCTTGATATGACTAAAGGGATCCTATAGATGTGGTCCATGTAAAAGCGGCTACATCGGTAATCAAACAGTGGGATGTCATATTCAGCAAGATCTCTGCCCGGATATGGTAACAGTTTGTGACGTCAATGCCTATTGCATCGCTGTGTATACTAATGAATACTCATGCAAGGTAAATGTCGTTTTTATATTAACTAAAGAAAATTATGTAACGATAAAATTTATACGTAGGATAAATAAACTTCTAAAAATAATTGTATTCAAACAAAAGCGAGACTGTGGTAAAATTTTACAAATAATATTTTTACAATTAAAATATATATATTTAATAAGACAAATTCGAAAGATAGAAAAATTAGTTTTAAAAGATTAAATCCCTTTCCAAAAAAGGCATGCAAAGTCGATTATAAATATTGTTGCTGCTTTTCCGCGATGCTGATTAGTTGTTTCGATTAACATTATGTGTTATTTACATTATAGATTTAAAATTAGAAAAGACCGATCGCTATGCGTAGATTATTTCTTTCTCATTAATATTTTATATAATTATAATATTGAAACAAAATATCAAGAGATTTTGACGCACTCTTTGCAGTGTCGCGTCGGTTGGGCCGGAAATGGATTTATGTGCGGTCCTGACAGCGACAGTGACGGTATCCCGGATACAGCTTTGCGCTGTCACGACAATCGCTGTCATGCCGACAATTGTCAAACGGTGCCAAACACCGGACAGGAGGATATTGATGAAGATGGAGTTGGCAATGCTTGCGACAATGACACCGATAATGACGGCGTATTGGACGAACTCGACAATTGTGTGTACCAGTATAATCCGAATCAACTGGACTCGGACAATGACAAAATCGGCGACGTGTGCGACAATTGTCCCTTGCAGTATAACAATCGTCAGGAAGATCTCGATCGCGACGGGGTAGGCGACGCTTGCGACAATGATCTAGACAATGATGGTAATTATCAGAATTTTTAATTTTTAATATTTAAAAAAATTACAAGTTTCTATGGATTAAAGAGAAAGAGACGTTCCATATTTTTTCGTCATTAAAAAATAATTTTTTACTCGTAATTAATTATCGATATACGCGCGCCACATTATGTACTTATACTCCTTCAGGTATCCTCGATACCAACGACAATTGTCCCAAGGTAAAAAATCTTAATCAACGCGACAGCGATTCGGACGGCGTCGGCGATGCTTGTGACAATTGTCCAGGCATCACCAATCCTGACCAGGCGGACAATGACGGCGACGGTGTCGGAAATGCCTGCGACACTAATGCGGACCGCGACAGGGACGGTGTCCAGGACGATAGGGATAATTGTCCGAACGTGCCGAATTCCGGACAGAACGATGCCGACCACGATGGCATCGGCGACGAGTGCGACGATGACCTCGATGGCGATGGTATACGAAATGGAATCGACAACTGTCCTTACGTGTACAATCCGGATCAGCGTGACATCAATCGTAAGTATAACAAATCTTTCTTTATAATTATAAACGATTTATATTATCTTTATTAGGTATTTAATTATTTAATGTATTTAATTTATTGAAGGGATGAATATATTTACTTATTATATGAATCATACTGAAAAAAGGTCCAAAATCAATACTTATTTAAAAATCTTTTTAATTTTGATACAATAATTATTATGTATATCTATAAAAAATCATATAAGAAATCGATTATTATTAATTGACAAGAAGAATAAAATGATATGTACAATTTTAAATAATACAATAAATATATTTATGGAAAAAAAGAGATGAGAGAGAGAAGAGAAACTAACTTAGTATTACTTTTTTCTTATAAATGGAATTAGTGTACTACTGATAAGCAGTAGTTTCAATTATAAGTATAGCACAGTAAAATTTTATAGAGAAGAATTAGTGGTAATTGTTAATTGAAATCTTCATCAATTAATGAAACATAAGACGAAGAAGCAAACTGTGAATGTTTGCCCTGAAATACTGATCTTTGATGAAATCTTGTCGCTTTAATCATTGACATTTTCACTGATTCCATTTAATACAGTGCGTTATAATTGACATTGTAATCTGTTACTTACATTTTGCATGCATAGACGACGGTATCGGCGATATATGTTGGAATGACAACGATAACGACACGGTTATCAACACCCGCGACAACTGTCCCAACAATAGTTTAATATGGGCGACGGACTTCCGGAGATACACGACCATTGCTCTCGATCCGTTCGGTACCTCGCAGATGGATCCTGTATGGGAAATTCATAACGATGGAGCTGAAATTAAACAGCTTCTCAACAGCGATCCTGGAATCGCTATAGGTAAATTTAATTTTGTCATAAAAACATATTTAAAAAAACTTGTATTTTGCAAACTCTTTACAAAAATTTTCCTTTTCCGATAAACTTTATATTATTTTTTACAAATTTAACAAATGTACGAAAAACGTATAAAATCTTTAATTAATTACTATAATTAATTTTGCAAAAGACCATATACTTACTTGCGCTTTCGTAAATTCTTTTTATCCATCACTCCGTTTAGGGCCAGATGTGTTTAATGGCGTTGACTTCGAAGGGACCTTCTACATCGATGACAAAGATTACGACGACGATTTCGTAGGCTTCGTCTTTTCCTATCAGGATAATCGACATTTCTATATTGTTTGCTGGAAGAGAGCCGGCCAAGTCTACTGGGTGCCAACGCCATTCCGCGCCGAAGCCGATCCCGGGATTGTGTTGAAGCTCGTTCAATCGGAAACCGGACCGGGCGAGATGCTCAGAAACAGTCTCTGGCACAAGAGTGATACGCCCAATCAGGTGAAGATTCTCTGGACAGATCCGAAGAAAATGGGCTATCAGCAAAGAATGTCGTACAGGTGGCATTTGTTGCACAGGCCGAAGATCGGCCTGATCAGATTCTGGCTGTATCAGGGTTCGCAGCTGGTGACCGATTCCGGAAATCTGTTCGATTCGACTTTGCAGGGCGGTAAACTAGGTGTTTACTGCTTCTCTCAGATGGAGATCACCTGGTCCGATTTATTGTACAAGTGTGCAGGTAAAACAAGCAATCTTTATTATTTAAGAAATTTATTATTTAAAGAAAATTTGAAAAAATATTTTTTTATTTTTATAGCAGATATAGTAATTTTTTTTTGTTGTAGTAAATATAAAAGACATGTAATAGTCACCATACACACGCACTTAAGATATAAATGTTACAAAAAATTGCAGAATAATTATAATTATAAAAGTTTCAAAATAATTATAATTGATTGTTTATATATGTAAACTAAAAGAAACTAATATATTATTTTCAGAAACTGTACCTCAATCCATATGGGACGAATTGCCTGATCATCTAAAGAAAGAAGTTGAAGTTGGAATAGCTAACCAACAACAACAACAACAAGTAGTACAACGCATGAATTATGATTTCTAAAACAGGCTTTCGGTGAAAACGATGAGTCAAAAAAAATGCAGGAAGATAAAGAGAAAGTTTAAATCTCCGTAATTTTAATTCTGAAATAATCATGAAATCATATCTATGCGAATTATAATTTGCTATAATGAATCACTAAATTGTCATATCTTTTGCGCGTTTAAATAAACTTAATTTGCATAAACTTGCATATAGATTCTTTATGATAAATTTTGTATATTTTTAAATATATGTACAGGCATCTCTTGTAACACAGATATTTAATATTCCATAATATATGACGAATATATTATTTAATCTATTAATCTATTAATCAATTTTTATCGAATTGAGAATAATTATTCAAGTAGCATTATATTTCAATCTCAATGTTATGATAAAATGAAACGTACGTACGTTATGCAGATATTAGGGAAGTACGGAGTCGCGAGATTAATATATATATATCATAAATTAAAACATGTAAAATCATAATGATTTTAATCGTTGCAATTATTTTTGTCTCTCTAAGAAATGCAACTTTCGTAAGAGCTATATTTTCGTACTTTAATAATAGATCGAAATAAAGTAATCGTCGTAAAAATATATTTCCATGGCATCGTTATTCATTAATAATTATTTCACTTTCCAAAATGTGCAGCATCGATGTAACATGAAATTATAAAGAAAGAATATATTAAACTTCGTACATATTAATGTTTGGGAAATATAATTAAAAAAGGTAAGTAACGATGAAATAATTTAAAACGTGCGACGTTCTTCGATTAAACACTTTATTCGTATGAAAATGTCAAAGAAAGATACGATATTAATAATTTAACGCTGAAACTTCGATCACACACATTCTCGTAACATATCTAATAGAGTATGTTTTACAGATTTTTCACCGGTAATGGCTACGGAATTACATGCGAGGATGATTTGAGAATAAAATTTAAAGAAATCGTATGTGTTGCTTGGCGAGAGAGCCAAGGACCAAAACAAAGAACCGTAGAGAGATTTCACTGATTAAAGTGGTGAGAAACCAACGAAAGAGAGGCGTGACAGAACGGACGCTGTGAGGTATTAAATTCGAATTTATTTGCTTCGCTCAAACAGACGCTGAGGAATTAACTCGAGCGATCGTGTAACTCTCTCCCTAAGTTAATGATCCTTATTGAAATTGACGTAAACAGTCTTCTTACAATGCTTGTTCCCTTGCGGCTTTTACAATAATTCCGAGACGAGAAATTGCAAAATTGTCGAATCGCCGTCTACCGCGACGGCCTTCTATCTTGCTTTCACCCTTCGAAGGGCCTCTTCCTCTCTTCTTCCTAATTCGCGCTCTAAATTCGAGATATCGATCATCCCTAAACGCGTGTTCGCGCTAATACGAGAGTTGGATCGTGCGACATACATATAGTATTATATATTTTATATATATGTGTATATATATATATACACACATATATATACGAGAAAGGTTCTAGCTAGAGAATAAATTATTAAAATCTACGCATAAAATTGTATTAATAATCGGAGGAGAAACAGGAGAAAGGGAGAACGTTTCCTTAATTGTCTACTTATCTATTTACACTAGGGAACGAAATGCACGAGTGCGACTCCGCGTCGTCCGCGACTCGAAGCTTCGCCTTTACACGAGGAAACGCGAAGCTTCGCGCGCGAGCGCTTTTTCTTCTTTTTTTCTCTAAAGTAAAATTGCGTTCGCGCGTTGTGGCAGTGGTCGCTCAGAACTCGCTGATTAAGGCAGTTGGGCACGCCTCGAACGGAAAGGAGTTAATCGAGAGTGTCCCTCGCGAGAGGACACTTCTCGCAAGAGGAGGATCGATTTGGCGGCTGCGATCCCAGCAACGCGCTGACACTCGATTGGGAGCAGTCTTTGTTTCCAAGATCGTGGAAGATCAACATCATCATCATCATCATCATCATTATTGTAAACTTTGCTGATAGGAAGCTTACAATCAATGTCGACCCTGTGTGGATGATGATTTGATAAACTGTCCAACGATTTTTCTTGTCTGCACATTAAGAGAAGTCAGCTTGTAGGCAGGAAAAATTGTGTGGTTTTTCATTATGTAAAATTACGCATCAATAATAGCGTCTATTTTTTTTTATCAGCATCACACTCCGGTGATAGTTTTTTTCGCGACGCGAATCTAAATAATTATTAACTTTATCAGCGCAAGTGGTGAACACGCATTCGATAAAGTAAAGTCGGATGGCGATACACTTAATTTCTATCAAAAATATTAACACAAAAAATTATGTACGCGAATAATAAAAAAAGATAAATATCGTGTTACGCCTTTAACTTTTCTCGACATAAAAATACGAATAAAAACAACTCGCTTTTCTAGAACTAGAAGTAGGTAAAGGACTTGTTGAAATTACCGTTAAAGTTGATGCTCGACCTTCAGACTTGTGTAAAATGCAAAGGATCGTTAAACGCGGATCGTTTTCAATGAGAAACGTCGAGGCAATCGCGTCTATTATTGTGTGTATGTGTGTGCGCACAATATTAGCGCACAAATAATCCCTTTGCCATTTTCGAATGGCATTCCGACAACTTATCGTGCAAACGACTCATATTCTAAGGATCGCTTCTTCGACGCGATTACGTGTCTCCTCGCGTGACTCTGCGTTCCGTTCAGACTCGCATTTTATGCAAACGACGCTCTTCGTTTATTCAAACGAATGTGCGCCTTCGTGGAAACTGACGTCTTAAATTTGCGACGCTGGAATGTCCCTGAAAAATGTAGACTCCGACGACGCGGAAGGAACATCTCTAAATTAATGTCGCGACGGCGTCGTCGAATCGACTCGTTGATTCGAGACTCTGGAGGAAGATCTTTTTGTCTAACATTTCTTTCGAATAAATAACATCTATCGAAAATGAAAGGAAGATGCGTTAATGGATTTTCATTGATACTCATCGATTCTTATCGCCCTCTGGAAGGAACGGAACATCGATCGCGGTTAAACCGTACAAGTATAAGCATCGTCGAAGATGCGATAAAGATTCGATAAAAGTCTTTTCGCTTATCCTGCTTACAGTGTTTCGATAATAACAGACTTTGTTTAACTCTCTTGTAGAGTCTCGCCGTCATTCGATATTATATCAAATTGATTAACACCGAAAATTCGAACGATAATAATGTCACTTCGGTCAGTTTCAAAATTGTCTACTCCGAATGACTTAAAAGCACCTTAGCGTTGTTTCTTCGTTTTCACGTCACGACGATCGCTACCCTCGATGGGTGAGGTGCTGGATGTAACCTCGGGTCACCAGGCCTCCGTGTATCGAACGTCGAATTCTTGCAGAGCCGGCAATCGCTTCTTCAGCGACTCAAACGTCTGGGCCGACAGCTTCGTGCTGTTTAAGTTCAGCTTCCTTAGGCTGGTTAATGCTGCAACAAGTGACAAGGCATTTTTTTCCAAACGATTGATCCAAAAATTTCATCAAAATAAAGCTGAACTCGGGAAGAAAAATATATAAATTAATTTAAATTTAATATTAGATATATATATAATTCAACATTTTTACATCGCACGAGATATGTATAGCCTTCATATTTATCTACAATCTATCGCATATCTAGAATCTTTTCAATATACAACTCTTAGCCTCTGATAGATAAAATTTATATAATCGACTTACATTGTTCAAAACAAAGCTTTACATCGCACTTTGAAATTATTATTTTAATTATTAATTAAAATTTGTGTTCAAAGCTTGAGAAGCGACTTGTTATTAAAGTCATGAAAATCAGGATACTTACAGGCCAACGTAGAGATGCCTTTATCAGACACGGGCGTCTCGCAGAGATTCAGCACCTGGAGCTTCTGCAGGTGCTCGCTGATCATCTGTAGGCCGGCGTCGCCGAATTGCGTGGCCCATAGATTTAAATATCGGAGTGCCGGCAGCTTGATCAGCTGTTCCGCGCACGCGGACGTCACGGAGGTAAAGGCTAGGCTGAGACACTCGAGATTACCGAGGGCGCGACCACCCAGAAGAAGGGCGACGTCGGCATCGGTCGCTCGTACTGGCAATGTCAGTTTACGCGGTCCGCCCTTTTGTTGCTGGCAAGAACGAAAGCAAACGCGCGTGATATAATCATATGTGAGCGTGATAAGAGCCCTAATCAGTCTTTATATCGTCGCGTCTTCGAGAAAGAGAGAAAAAAAGAGCGGCGCAAAATTGCGCGATTTTCCGCATCGTCTATCGAAATAACGATTCACGATGTCCCTTACCAGTTCCTGCAGATTCTTCTGTCTCTGGCAGAGAGCGGCATAACGCTCTTTCCGGACTCCGTAGACTCGAGCGCGTTGACTGTCTGGAGTCTCGCCTCCTCGTTCGCCAGCAAACGCCACTCCAGCATCAAGCAAAGAGCCTCTTGCGCGGCGTCGCAGCCTCGCACCGCCAGTAAAATGCAATCGTCGCCCGCCTGCTTCAGCAGAGACGCGATGAACCTCTTTCGCCGACAGCAACACGCCAGCAGAGTCGTCAGCTGTCGCGAAAGAATCCCGTTTTAATTATTCATATACATTGTATATTTTTTGTAAAAAAATATGTAGAATGGGCGAAAAAGTTGTGTAATATTTTTGTGTAAAAAAATATGTAGATTTTTTGCCTATTAAAATTTCTTGATGACAAAGTCAGGTGTAATCGCGAGAGTAAAATTTATCGGATCGGATTTAGCGGGTCACGCTTCCTGTGTTCCATTCACTTTTGCCGCCGATTATCCGACAGACCTCATTAATTCCGCACGACGGTGGCGATTCAGTTCCACGGGCTATATTCGAGAGATTGGAATGGATGCTGTGAATACACGGGTCTCTCCATTGAAATCGCGCGCGAGCGCGCGCGTGGCCTCAAAAGAGACCGATTCGATGAATATTCAGATGTAGTCCTTCGATCGAGTCGCGTGGGAATAATCGTGCCGCTCTCTCTCTCTCTCTATTTGCTCTGGATGAATTGTTTCTCGACAACAAATCTTATTGCGGTGTGTTATCGCGCGGATACCCGGGGAGGTCGCGATTCGAGACGCCTGGCTCGCGAGATTACGATACACTGAATATACGCCACAATCATTTCACGTGCGGATAAATTCGGTTGCCGTTGCCGGTACCGATAAGCGCGATAATTGCATATCCATCCGCGTCTCCCTATTTGCCGCTAGAGATATTTATATCTCTCTCACCAAGTGTGACCCAAATGTATAAAACGCGCGAGACGAACGTTTTATACGAGATCGTAAAGAGAGGAAGATATATAAACGTCGCGTGTGTGTCTTTTTTTGTATCTTTCTAATGATCTTATTAAAGATTTAAGATCAACCAAACTGTCTGCATGTGCACGCGCGAAGAGATCTTTATGAATGTAATTATTTTTTATAACTGATTAATCTTTCTGCGCAATCTTTCAATAGGTATCCGGGTACTAATTACGTGTTTTCGACACATTGCATCGTGATAATTTCTTTATAGCAGCGGCTGGATAGCGAAGATATTCTTTTCCATTATATTTCATAGAAGTTAATTTATTGTTTACAATTTATTTTTTAATTTATTTTCATACAAGAGCCCTTTGTATTTAATTTCGAGCAAAGAATATTTTTGACACATTTTTTTAACATTTACAATTGCTTACTCAGGTATGCGTTTATTGATAGGAGAGTTAATCAAACTTTTAAAGTTAAAAAAATCTGTGTTTTTATATTTCGAAAAAATGAATAAATTGAAAAGAATCTCTTACCATCTCACCGAACAGTTCTCCGCGATCTGGACAGGCCGGGCTGGACGGGGCGGCGATGTGGATCCAACCAGGACGCGGTTCTCGAACAGGCAGTAAAACGCGATGCACCGTGCATCTCGGATCTTTCGCCAGTCGTTTCATCACGCACATCAGCACCGATTCTTGCACTTTCTTTACGGCCAGAGCTTCCTCCGGGAACGGGACAGGTTGTAAAAGTGCTCCGAGACCCGGACGCCAGTCCGCGTACTCCGATCTGAAACAATTTTTTAATAGATGAATTTAAAATAAAAACTAAATGCATGGGCGAGGAATACAAGGAATTTTTTTATGCAACACTTACGCAATATTCAAGACGAGCAAGTAGCATTGTAAGGGCGGCAATGACGGCGGCTTATCCTCGTTTAACGACACGCGACTCGACACTTCGAACCTGCAAGCAAAATCGATGACATTGGCTCGGAGTCTCGAGTTATGATTTCGGCTTGTAACGATGACGGATGAGACTTGCCTGTGGAATATAGCCGCGACGCAGATGGACACGAGATTGGGAAGTACCCTTGGGTGCGGACAATCGCTACCCGGTCCGTGAACCGACAAGATGTAATCTCTGATCGCCTGCTCGCCGTCGTTGTTCTCGTACAGAGCTGCGACGAAGACCTATACGTATGCAAAGCAACATTACGAATGCAAAATGATTTAAAAATCGCTCGAACAATTTCAATTACATTATTAGAATAATTTTTTATTATTTTTTCTTCTCTTATATATTATTTTTTACAGTAGCAATATACAAGATGATCCACGGTAAGTGTAAAAAAAATTCAACAGCTTGTTCGGCCGGTCATTTTAAGTAAAAAATATGTAGGTATATTTTTATTTTCTCATTTTGTTTATTAATCTAATCGAATATAATTATGTACGCAAAGCAAAGTTATATTATTCTTGGATAATAAAATCTCCAAAATTACAACGCATGTATAAAATTATTATTGCAATGCATGCATAGAAATATATTTAATTACGTGATTCATAAAAATTCAATATATAAATTTTTAACCGAAAACAAAAAATAGAATTATGTACAAAAATTTTCAATCAAAATATCTGCACTTCCATTAGATTCACGCGTCTATACGCGTCCACTACGCTGCACGGCTCGTATAAAACTGATTATGTAATCAAATTAGTACACCCCACACTTACATTATGGTGCGCGGTTTGCGCGAGACTGATTCTCATGCGGGGTATCGCAAGCGCGGGACCGATGGTCACATGACCACTCGTCACATGACCAGTGGTCACGTGACCATCAGTCCCGCGCTCGCGATATTTTGAACGAGAATCAGTTTCGCGCGAACCGCGCAGCGTGACAGATATATAGAGTGTAAAGTTTCGCGCGAGTCTAATGAAAGCGTAGATATTTGATCACAAGATTCTTGTAAAAATTTTATTTTTCGTTCGTATTTTCTGTTAAAGATTTAAATATTGAATTTTTATACGTTACATATTTAATTAATATATTTTTTATGCGCATTGATTGCAGTAATAATTTTTGCATGCATGCGTCGCAATTTTTGAGATTTTATTATCAAAGAATAACATAACTTCACTTTGCGTGCGTAATTATATCCGATTAGATTAAACAAAATAATAAAATATTTATATACAGAATGGAATTCAGGAGGAGATCATGTATATTCATGTATATATTATAATAATAAATAATACGTAATACATATATTAAATGAACGAGCTATCAAAATTTTTTTACATTCTGTATTATATAAAATAAAACGAACACGAGAGATTCTCGATGCTATAATCGAATCCAAGTAAATTAAACTAATGCCAGACATCAATATACAGTGAAATCATCGACTCTTTGGCCGCCTACCTGCAGCAACTTCCTCATGTCCGGCGACTTGCCAAAGTCAACGGTGTGTTTCAGGCATCTCGTGATCGCAGGGCTGAGCATCGGGACCAGCTGCGACCGCGGATGCTGTTGCGCTAGTCTGGCGAGTGCTCTCGCGAGAGCCGCCGGGGGAGCGGCCTTTTCCAAAAGCGGCGCCACAACGGAAAGCACAGCTTCCGCCCAGCTCCTACGATCGCGAACGATTCCTTCAATCTTCGCATCCGTGTCGGGCTGATCCGTAATCGGGCTAGGCTCCTCCAGGAGTTTGGCGACAGCTTCCAACGGGGCGCCTGCCACCCTCTCGTCCTGGAGCGGCGTCCACAGGGCGAAGTCGACCATGGTGCGCAACTCGCGCAAGATCACCTCTTCCCGTGTGCTCATAGACACCAAATGTTGATACTTGAAGATGCTCTTCTGTGAACAAGCAAACAAATCGACGTTTGATTTTATTTGCCGCACGCAAGCTCGGCTTTTTAATAACGAATTCTTTAATAAAGTTTTAGAAGCGAGAAAATCTCCAGAGAGGAGAAAAAATGCGTGATAATTATTAATTATTATAATAACGAAATAATATTTAAATGTAATGAACAGAATAAAAAAATAGAAATCTTGACTCTTTCAGATCTGGCATGTTACAGCAATTTTAATTTTAACAAATAATAATTAATTAAAGAATCCTTCAAATTTACAATTAGATGTGAAACATTGTGCAATACATCGCTTGTGTCTATGAAAATTAAATGAGAAAAGCTATCTCTCTTCGAATAAAATTCAATCTCGCAAATGCGTAATAATTATCACTATAATAACAAAATAATATTTAAATGAAATGAACACAATAGAATAAGTGAAAATCTTAATTCTTTCAGATCTGCTGTTATAGCAATTTTAAAATTTCAACAAATAATAATTTATTAAAAAATTCGCGCATTAAGGATTAACTCAAATTTAAATAAAACATTGTGTAATACATCGTGTCTATGAAAACTGGGATAAAACACAAAGCTGGTCTCTCTTGGGAATAAAATCGATCTCGCAGAAGTCGATGACATTCAACTGTCAATGTAGGGACAATATTTCCAATGGGTATACGACACCGTAAACAATAAAATTCAATCAATCATTATGATCGATCTGAACCGTTACGATTTACTCGTCGTAAAAGCTGCGACGAGAGGCCGCTGATTAACTTCCCGGTCGGATATTATACCGTTCGTCGCAACTGTCGTAAAATATTGACGTATTCGGGGGGAGGATTTGATACGACCTCTCTGGAGGACGAGCGAGAACGTTCGACTTGCACAACGTTATCACTTCCTCCTGTTTCAGGGCTTTATATGTATATTGTCGGATGTTAATAACAACCGTGTTTGCTCGCGTTCATCGTCGACCAACATCCGAGAGAGAACCGATATTGAAAAAAATATTTGACATCAGCGTTTGTGCATTCGCGTGAATAACATCGATCGCGCTGCGTCCGAAAAAGAATAAAAATCGGACGATGCGCAAACACGTTGCTCTCTATTGTTCGCTTAAAATGTTACAAGTTAAAAAACAAAATTATTGGGAAATCAAAATTAATTTTTTTTAATTTTTATTCATTATCGCTATCAACATAATAAGCAAGCAATTGCAAATATGTGAAATATGATAAGATTTTAAAAAGTCATTAAAATTTGAATCAATGTAAGTTTAATATGTGACAGCTTACTCGCGTGTAACATCTTATTTAAATAAATCATTTATCTTCATATTTAAAAAAAAATGTAACACGCTTGATATAATTATATCAATGCAAATAATTCGAGTAAGAAGTAATATTACTTTTTTACGTACTTTCCATAAAATCGAGTGATACCACTGGTCCCTCGTGTACGCGTTGCTGGCTTGTAGGAGCAACGATCCATCCGGCAAAACGATGCTGAGACAGTTCTTATATGCGGGATCCCATCTGGCGACGACATACTTTCGGACCTCCGACATGCTGCTGTACGGAATAGGTTGTTGAAGGAAACCCGTGAGCTGAAAGAGAAAAATAAATAAAATTCAAATTTCACAAAAAAAACTTTTATAAAAATGGATATGAGTGACTGTAATATTAGAATATTATCGGATTAACAGAGTGTTACAAGTCATTTTGAGTTCGTTATCGTTGTTTTTATTAAAAAGTTTCATATAAAAGCCTGATACGTACGTGCAATATTCATGAAATCTCTATAGCTCGCGGAAGTCACTTTATTTTCTTCTATCAGAATACAGAGTATATAATTATATTATTAATTACATGTATTAATCAATTCAATTAATATAATCTCGCTTGTTATATAACGAAGCTGCAGGTTAAAAATGTCATCAATCTTGTAACCAAATTAATTATTTTGTATTTATTATTCTGTAATATAATTTTCATTTAACAAATGGTAAAAAATTTGCATAATATTCTCCTTTTCTATGAAAAATAGATAGAGAGAAAAATATTACAATAAAGGTATAATCTAACTTTAAAATGACATTTCGTTTTTATTGCAGAAAAACGCAATCTCTATTATTTGCGTTTCGATCATCAATCATTTTCCACTTTTAGCCACTTGAAATCGCAAATTATTAACGTTGTTTGACGTATAAACTCGACAAATGAACGTCATAGCTGTTCTTATAAATTTATCTATGTTCGGCAAATATAATAAGAATGTTATAATATTATTATTCCAGGAAAAAATCATTACGATAATATAATATATTATAATTAAAAGAATGTTAAATTTATAGTTTTAAAATTAGCTAACGACATTAACGAGAGAAACAGAGTATTACTAATCACCTGTTTGTATTATAGTTTAAATTATAACTCAAGAACAGTGAAATACTAAATGTAAAAAGTTTATTTCCCTTATTAAAAGTTTTTCTTTTGTGTACTTTATAAATGTTTTAAATAGAAAATTGAAGAAACGAGAGATTTTTTTATATTCAAGAGTTTTTTATAAACTGTAAAAATGTATCGAGGAATCAATGGTAACATAATAAGTAATAATTATGACTAAAATATTGATTAATACAAAAATTATTTTTTAAAATTATTTTAACGTTACTTGATTAAAAAAATACGAGTCTTCTGGCATCAATCTAATAGCAGCTTCGAGTCAAAGTCAACACAGACTTTCGGCGCGCGATCGGTCTCTAAAAATGATGTAATCACACTTGTCATAACGAAGCGCATGAATGTGTAATAAAGCAGTACCGGCGAATCTGGCCGTGTGGCAAAAAAAATAACTTGACGAAGGAACAGAGAACAGACGCGAGAGAGAAAGGGAGACAGAGAGGCGGGAGAAAAAGGGACGATGTGAATCGAGGGAGAGAAGTTGCATAATACGACCTGGTGAGGACAATGCGCCCTGGTTCGCGCATCACACTCTGACGGTGTCTCGAGTTCTGAGACTGCACGGGGGATGACGTAGTCGTGCGTGCATATGTATGGCGTGTGTATACATGTGTTTGCGTATTTATGAATGCCTCTGGGTGTACGTGTGCGTGCATGAATGCCGGGCCGCGCGTGTAAACGTGATATCGACGACTAATACAGAACCGCGAGCACCTGCGTGTGGAATAGTGACGTCAGAGCGCGAGGCGAATCTAGGCCGAGGGTTGAACGACTCGCTGGAGCAGGCTCGGCCGAATCTAGGACACACCGCATCCCCTCGCTAAATGCGGTCGTAAGCGACACGGAGCCGATCGCGCCGGAATTTCGCGCAATATCTTTCGCGCGCAATCTCATTTCGCGTTTCTGATGTGTAATCAGCTGTTATTCTTCGGGCATTTTGACGCCTTGAAATTTGACGGTCGGAAACAGTAGCGAGGTCGAAGAAAAGGAAACGAGATAGTAGATCCATTGAAAAACTGACATCTACTTCTTTCCGTCCATCAAGAGATATATAATTATTCTAATGTAAAAAGATAACAAAGAACAGAGATTCATGTCGCGATGAAAATTTCCGAGAATCATGTACGCACTTATAGAGAAGAATGATAGAGAATAATTCACTTGGGTCTGTGCTCCGACTCTGCAATTCTCGGAATACTTATGCATTCTGTGTTTATAATAATCAAATAATTACATTATGGTTATTAAATGAATGCAAAGTAGATAGGCGCTACGGTCTATGAACAAAGTTCGCGCGGTTTCAATTTCCATTTATTAAACGATCCGTGCATTTCGACGTTTAAATGAAATTTTGTCGTTTGTGGAGAGAAAATGGCATTTATATATTTATGAAACAAAAAAAATAGAGTCCGAACACTACGAACGTTTGCTGTTACAAAGGGCGACACGAATAATATACAATTTTTTTGCCGTACCTTCTGATCCAAGGTCATCTTTTGTAAACGACTTCACGCTCTTTTTATGCATTTGTGTTACGAAGACTGCTATGCATATGCATGCATATCATGCATATTCATGCGTGACGTAAACGATAACGAAACTTGCTGCGCCCATTACTTAACTGAAAGTAGCTAAATTTCTCATGTTCTCTGTAATAGCGATTTGATATTATTTTCTAATTAATAATCTTTAATTTTTTTGCCTTTTCTTCCCTTACTTCCTTTCAGAAAAATTTAGATCAATTTCGTGCGCGATAACAGAATCACGCGTGCATATTACGAGGTTCCGTATAATTAATAAAAAACAATGAATAACGCTATTTCATAATATGTACATTCACATTGTATAACCCGGCAATATCAAGGCTGTCGAACATTAATGTGTAAAAAAAGATAAACCAGTGAATGACACGCGGTTTCTCTCTTTTCTACTTGCAATCTTCTCTCTTCTCTGTATTTAATAAGCGCAAATTATAGCAGAATTTTAAACGTAAGAAAACTTGATTTGATTGATGATCGAAATGTAAATCTTTCACTCGTCGTTAAATAGAGAGATACTTGCAAATTATATACATTGTTTTCATTTGTCTTCGGCACCATCGAATACATCTCGTTTTTTGAATTATAATGTCCTATTTTAGTAACCCACCTAACATGCGATTGCATAATCGATGGTGGTCAATCGAAACATAAGCGCGATGAGTCATTAACATCTCATTAACATCTGGCGCATGTAGTCAGAATGACAATGTTGTATTCGCGATATTGCACATCGATTCAAATTACAATTATTTAAATACAACGGAACGCCGGCGACTCGCATTCGCGATTTGCGACGTTTCCTATGCGTTGCGATGATTGTGCAACTACAAAGATTAGTAGGACTACATGTCGAACAATTGCGTGTCGTGACGTGAAAAAAAAAGAGAAGGCAGGTAAGGTCGGCGCATCGTTTCGTGTCGCGTTACTCATAAATAACACTACAATCTTAAGCGCACAAGCGACCATCACAAACAACGTTCAACTTTCGTGTCTTTAGCCCGGAAAATGGAACGTCAGTCTCTAGAGGCACCAAGGAATATTTATGAAGTAACACAGAAAAATTCGTTAAAATTCTCTCTTAATAAAAAAATATAATATATATTCTAAATAATTGAAAATTTTGAATAAATTAAATTAAAAAAAAATAAATCAAACTTTTATATTTGATGATAACGCGTGTGAATCCAGTCGAGAAAATTTAAAATTATGATTGCAGATTTTTTGATTGACGGAATCTTTACACTGATCGAAACGCAGATTTACATCTATTATAATTTTTTGCATAAAGCAATAAAGTTCAACGAGAAACAGGTATATGACATCCAGTCTGACTCAAGTTCGTAACGGGAATATGTAATATATTGACACAAATTCCATACTAGTTACTTTCCTAGAATATCGTTACGTAATTTATTCGTGCCTCCTGCGTAATACGGTTTTGCATAGCAGGAAGTCTCTCGATTTCATATCGCGATAAAAGTCTAATTGTGAAGGAGGAGTAAGAAGATGTCGCCGATACGTGTTGCAGAATCGCACCACGTGGCTAATTTGACATATCGTATACGTAAGATATGACGTGCGGCTCTCGTGCGATATCGTGTCGACTCGCTATCATTTCCTCGTCATCTATCGATCATAATACAATGTTATGCAACTTTGTGCTTGCAAAAGAGCAGCACAATAATGAATAGAATATACCGATTGAGTATGATTTTGACGATACCACACATTGTCAATCTGCTAAATGTCGTAAAAATTTTAATTAAATTCCTGGGGTAAACAATAAACGAATAAGTTAAAATAAAATTTTATTTTAATCACTGTCGCCGAGCAATAATACTGAACAATTATTATTACTTGTCTCTCGCGTTTCATACATTTAATTTTGTAGGGAGAAAATTGTATTTTTTATAAGAATAAACAAATGTATATAAAAAAGGCTTTTTGTCTCTCTTTGTGATAATGGAAAAGTACTGGTTTAATCGAAAAACAAGTACAGTCGATCAGTATTTTCGTTCGTCCATTATTTCAGACATTCACAACCGCGAGGTCGTTGATCCGAGTCGCCTTTAATTTCGAACTGAATACACGTGGATCGTGCGTTTGATAAACGACTCGCTTATAACACGAAAACGAACAGCACTCTGTCCACCGCTGTATTGTTGTAAATTTATCGATTCGCGTGTTTGCCGTTTTCCTGTGTTTGTTCTTTCAAAATTCCGAACTGCATGTGACTACGTGAGCACGTGTATCCCTATATTTAACAAAATTGTGCATCTTCGATAAAGAAAATCATTTTAACACTTTGTAAAGTCTATTTATGCAAATTAGGACAAATATTTTGCCGTAAAAATTAATTACAAAATAATTTCATTGTAATCAAAAATTTTTCAAAACCATTGTCAATTATTTGACAAGCAATCCTTTTTCGTGTCACTATTTCAACTTTTTAAATATAATGTATAAAAAAATTAAATAAAAAAATAAGATTTAAACAATATTTTTTGTGTACAAAAAGTTTAACCCGTTAGAAAAAAAATCATCGAATTGCCATAGAGAGGATGCCGGTAATACACACATCGACGCGAGGATCTAAAAATAAT